TTAAAGGGGACCTATCATGCAAAATGCACTTTATGATGTCTTTTATACATGTGTGTATATGTGTCCCCGGTGCGTCGGGGAACTCACGCAGCGTCAGAAAATAAACCCCTCTCTCTTTTCCTCCGTACCCGTACTCGACTCCAATTCGAGCGATATAATTACTAACAAAGCACTTATATACTAATAAAGGACTGGCTTATCTAAAGCCAGTTGAGTAGCACTTGAAATGTTTGGCTCTATGAAACCTGATGTACTTATATGATTCTGTTTTCTTCTAGGTTGTATCTTCCTGGTCGAATGTACTTATTGTAAATCGCTTTGGATAAAAGCGTCAGCTAAATGCAATGTAATGTAAATGTACCCAAATATTTTAAAAACGGGTGTACAACGAGCGGATACATATTCCATCTGAACTGATGTCAAATTGGCAGCGGACCCACATCAAGTTGCTATCAAAAACAATGCCTGACGTGTTTTGGACATCTTTGTTTACATTAGCTAGCCTCGCAAACACTCAGAGCTAACCTGTACTGTAGAGCACATGTGTTAAAAAAACAGGAAATGAAAAAAGGAACTCACCTTGTGATAAACCCGCAAGAGAAAAATCATTTGAGCTCCATACTGTTTCAGAAATAATCCTTGATGTGGTTTAGAACAGGATGGCGTTTTATCACAACCAAATTTAACTTTATCTCCGGCAGAATTCTAATCAGGCATTAGCTCCGCCTCCTCTCCTTTTATTTTTTTCAAGCTAAGGTCCCAAGACCCAAGATCCTTTCTCTAACAGGGCTTCAAAAGAGGGGTTTGAGCAGTTTGAGGCATGGCTACAATGCATGATCTCTTTGGTATTTTGAAACAAAAACTTCACAGACATGTTTTGTATAGGTATGGCCCTACAATATATTTTTCAAATATAGCATGATAGGTCCACTTTAAATATGCTCTTACTTCACGAGGACACAGAATCATGAGAGTTAGGCTGAAACAATTCAATTAGTAAAAGCACATTTCAGTGACAGAAGTTACTGCTGAATTTTGGTTTGAAATTCAGCAGATTAACTACAATGCTGACTAATTACTTATGAGAATATAGTAAAGTAATATAATTACTTTTTCATTTGGTAATCTGTGGAGTGTCCTTTACATTTTGTCCAATATGACAAAGCTATTTAAATGGATGCCTGTCACATTATCAACTTTCTTTATAATTGCTTTCTCTTTTAGAGCGTATATAAAATCTGAATAGAAAACAAATTAACTTTGTCCAGGCCCGCACCATGACATTATCTTAATATTATTCTGATGGCATCCCCGGCCCTCTGAGATTTGTCATTCATTACCCGAGAGAGGCAGGGAAAGAGGAAGAGAAAATGAGAAGGGTGGGGGGGGGGGATTATCAAATTCCCCTTCCGCTCTCTAATCCATGTTTTACCAGAGAGTTTGGCTACGCTAACACTCAGTCCAAACCCTAAACCCTTCTGCCAGAGGTTTGGTTAAAACACAGGCAGCTGGTTGGCTGGAAATCCTTTTGTTTAATGTTCACAGACATAGCTGACAACATGAAGGGTTGCTTCTCATTAAAGCAGCCCGCTGTACTGAGGAGGGCTTGTAATGAAAATGGAGCCTGTTTACCGTCTAAAATGGTGCCTAGATGTAAACATGCCACCATCAACACACTCAAAAAAAAAGATGATGAACTGTTGAAGTGAGACAATAACTGATATCATTGGGGGTAAAATAGTTCATTTGTTCCAGAGGGATTACGCTTCGAGTGCCTGTGCACATGTGCATCAAAAGGACCACTGGCCACAGATGGAGGCTGTATTGTGCTGTGGATATATCTTAGGCATATCCCAGCATGCTTTGCACTCCAGAAGTCCTGTAGCTCTTCCTCATTAACAACATAAATCAACATTCATACAGACATATTTTTTTTGTTCAGAGCTCTATGGCAGCTTCTGATGTCAATCTGTTTTTATCTTTTGACACATTACACTTTCTTTATCACTGATGCTCTTTTTGTCCTCCTATTCTCTTTTTTTCTCTGCGCCTCCCCCTGAAGCTCTGCAGTTATGAGCTTCAGTGGCAGATTGTGCCTGGCAGAGCTAAGGACACATGGGCCTTGAAGGAAAGACAGACAAACAGGCAGATGGGTGGGCAATGGAGATGGACTTTTTTTTGTTATGCGCTCAATTTCACTCCTTCCTCCTTTCCTGTCCTTCTACTCAGTTGGTGGTAGTCAAAGTCAAATAACAAAGTAGCAGGTATTCAGTCGTTTCACTGGGCCAAAGTATAAAGAAATGGAAAAAGGGAATTGAGCGATGTTGTTGTTGTTGACTTACAATACGTTTCTTTGAAGGCTGTTTCATTGCTTTTTTCATGCTTTCATTTGAAAAAGTGTGGAAAACCTACAGGAACAAAATCGAAAGTTCTCCAAAATGTTAGGTCCATGCTTTAATGAGCCTTTGACATTGGTAACATGGATACATGTACCATAAGGATCCCTTGATCGTTTGCTNAGGCGGCCGGTGTCAGTACCATATGTGTTCGGGGTCCGTCGCTTACCAATGACGTCACACATTGTGATTGGCTGTACGGTAATCGCACGCTGACACCAATCAGCGTGCGATTACCGTACAGCCAATCACAATGTGTGACGTCATTGGTAAGCGACGGACCCCGAACACATATGGTACTGACACCGGCCGCCTCAGTCTTCAATGTCCTATTACGCGTAAAACAGAGGATTTTGACATTTGACATTCATCTCTTACATCCACACGCCTTTTCTCCTCCTTATCTCCTCCATAACTTTTTATTTAATACATTTTAACGGCTTCAATAGCCACTTTAATAATACTGGACGTTAGTCCCGGATGTCGTCATTACATTAAATTACATTTAGCTGACGCTTTTATCCAAAGCGACTTACAGTAAGTACATTCGACCAGTAAGATACAACCTTGAAGAAAACAGAATCATATAAGTACATCAGGTTTCATAGAGCCACACATTTCAAGTGCTACTCAAGTGGCTATAGACAAGCCAGCCCTTTATTAGTATAATATATAAGTGCTTTGTTAGTAATTCTTTGTTAGTAATTCTATCGCTCGAAGTGGAGTCAATGTCAAGTCAATGTTTCAGGATAAAACAATCCTGATCAATAGAGGGATTAGCTCAAGTGTTCCATCGTTCTTCACTTATTTCAATTTCCCTCTTTTATTAGGTCTCTAAAAATAAAGCATCGATTTGTCTGGAATGTTATAGTGTACAGTTAACCAGGTGAGAATGGATTAAAGGAGACTGAAAGGGGCTTTTTCTTTTTGAGATTCATTGTATACTCTTGTTTTTCCCTACAGCAAAGATCCACTACCAGCCAGCCCTGCCCAGCCAGAGAGAATTCCTTACCCAGAACATGCCGGTGGGCCACATGATAAAATTCATATTAACATACCAGACGGTGAGTAACAGAAGACGAATCTAAATGTGAACCTACATTTGCATAACGTTATGAGGATGCAAATTACACATTCATTTTTAAACAACGACTTTGTTTCTCTTGACAGTTGTTGCAGCTTTTTACCTATTTTCACATATCTTTCATCCCCAAAGGGTTTTCCTCTGAACAACATGTTTCATACTTCACATCCATAAAGAGTAACATCGATTTCGATTGTTATGGTGGATTATTAAATTAGTCACACTGACACATGGACTGTTAAATATGTTTACATAGAAAACAGCATTTGTGAGGGGATAGAGTGCACTGGAATCAGTCAATACAATTTTTATAATAATAACAATATGCTTGTCAATTGTAACATTTCACAACGGCTAATAGGGGCCCATTTCACCAAAGCAATTTGCAAGCAGTACTTACAAGCGAGTGCTGGGTGTGTCACGTTTCACAATTGATTTCTGCTTGCAAATTGCAGATAAGTGTGATTCCTGCAAGGCTTATGCATGGGTTGAAACTATTGGATGTTAATAATAATCGAAATTACCTCATTGTGCAGATTTAGCTAAATAGGCCCCTGAATTTCAATAACCCCCACATAAACTCTTAAGTCATATGTTTCAGCTAATCAGGACCTTAAAAAACACTTGAAAGTCTATCAATATCAACATTATCTTTTGTGTGGAATTGAAAAATGCCTCCCAACAGCAGAAGTAAGTGAAAATTGTTATAAAATATGGATTTTTTTCCACCTGGTTAATAAAATATAAAGCCTATGGAGACAGCTCTCATCTCATTTGGCACACACTATTTACAGATCTACAAAGAGCTTCTTGCATTATTTTTTTCCCATTCTGTACTTTACAACCACAAAATTAATAAACAAAATGTGTGTTTAACTTGTTATTGGAATCAATGTGTCTAATGTAATTAACACAAAGTAATTAACGCTTAGATCTCTGCCTTGGTTTCTTGCCAAGACATATTATGGATTCTAAACAAACAAACACATTCGCCACTGATCTAGAATATTGTTTATTTCAGTCATTATTGGAGAGCTGCCTTAACTGCAGTTATAAATATGACATGTTTTTTATCTGCCAGAAGCGTGGCTCTTGTGTTTGGAACATGCAGTTATTTCCTATTAAAATAGCAAGGTGAAAATTAAGGGTGTGATTATTAATCAGAATAACACACTTTACAAGCCTGTTTACCATAAAGTGCCAGAATACACTTCACTGTTCACCTCTAATCTGATCGCAGACTTCCCCAATATGAAGGATTACCCATGTTATTATCCAAAAGTCTGACATGTACAGTATATGATACGTAGCACTAATATTTATCAAAACGTATCAGTTCAACACAAATTGCCAAAAGTTAACTATTTGACACAGCTATAGAATAGCTATAGAGGCCATTTGACAACAAAAGCATGGATTCAATACATTGTGTTAGACATGACATTGAGGTAGCATCCATAATACCAAGACCTTGCAGCTTGCCTTATCTAAATGAAATACGAGTGTCATTAATTTAATTCCTTTCGTACATATTCAACATAACGAGATGACGGTAAGGCAAGGCAAGTGTGTTTATGCAGCACCTTTCAACACAAGAGCATTAAGAAACATATTATTAACCTGTTAAGCCCCAAGCCTGTTTTTCAGGCCTCAGGCTCGAAAATGACATTCCCAGAACAAATGACTACCGGTATATCTTCACTTCTAAAAAGGGGTAAATTAATCATCTTTTTTCTCAAAGCAATGATTCACCTGTGAGTTGGATGTAGAAAAGTCAGAACCAATATAGATGTTTTTATTTTTAAAGTAAATGCAGATTGAACATAGTAAAGAAATGTAAATTATAGTGTCCGTCCAAAAAAAGAAAACATTACTTATAGTGAAAACCACCCTTGAATGATGGGATCGAAGACTAAAAGCTTTAGGAATCCAAACTATAACACATAATAAGTAATAATAATAAGTACCCTGTATCAAGATTGATGCAAAACAAGTGATTGATGCAAAACAAGTGACATTTGACCCACTTCTGGGGTCATTTGGGTGGATTTACTCTTTGGGTGGATATCTCTGGCCCCCCTCGGTTTAGGTTAGAATTTTATTGTGTGCTTTAGTTTTCCACTACCGACCCTATAGAGTTGCTACCTTTCCTAGAGTGAAGGTCCTCTTCATAGTCCTCTCCTGTAATTGAAGGAACACAAAAGGGAGACTCAGTAATTTCTCGAGAAAACACTGTACGTATAATCTTCGCCATTTTGTGAAAACTTCACCGGTTGAGAGTCTTATTTTTTTGTTGTGTTCTCGTCAACACTGCGGGGTATTCTTCTGTCCACGGTGAAGTGTCCAAGTTCCAACTAAAAATTCCGAGGAACCGCAAGTTTTATGCCACCTGTGCAATCGCCAGATAACCCCAATGTCTACCCCAGGTTTTGATCGTTTGATGTACTTACAGAACCCTCGTTCAATTAACATAATACGATGTGTTTATACCCGGTCCTAAGGCAACTTAAAAGGACTTATAACCCAAACGTCTAATTGTAAAAAAATTTTCACCCCAAAGCAAATCGTACTTTGTGGAATTGTTATTGATTTCCTATTTCAATTGTTTCCTTCATCTTTTCTTTCACTCCAGTATGTTTTTTGATAAAAGACGATTTTTCTCAATCGTTGCTGGTTCAGTTCTGGAATTTTGAAAGTCTACACAGAGTGTGTGACGTGACATTGAAGGTTAAGTACATGGAAACAATAAGTACAAAATAATAGAAACCGAAAAATTTACTCAAAAAAAATTTACGGTAAATTGGACAATTCGGGGTATCGGGGGCGGCCGTTTGGGTCGAAGGCCAAACCCGCACGACGGTACGTAGTGGTTACACTATTACAAATCTACCTAAAATCCTTTAGAAGGGAAACTAAGATAACCGGAGATTACCAGGTTTTCTCCACAGTTA